TCCCTCCCTCCTTATTGGCCATATTTGTATTTGCAGCTCTTATGCACATTTTTCAATACTTTTAGCACTTTTAAAGGAAATCCATAGGCCATTTTCTTCTAAGATGAATAAAGATGGTTGTGATAATTTTTAACTGGGTTATGTATAACCCTTGTAAATTCCTTGGGTTGGAGACCAAGTTTCATAGTGGTGGGTGCTTAGCACACACTCTACATATATGTGATGATGGATTAGCTCTGACTTTATGGGCTATTCTTATAATAAGAAATGCTGTCTTAGAATTGGTCCCATGTTTGGCACTGTTGGGAAGATAAAGGTCTACAGCAGAAGATTTTTACTCATACATTTTTAAAGGATACCATAAATTAGAATTGACTACAGATGGCCAGCTGCCACATTTAAGAATAAGATGGCCAAGGCATAAAAAAATTTAGTGATGAACATTCCACATGCCAAATGCAGTCAGAGCCTGGGGGAATTAAGGTTATGGCAGGTTCTGAGTTAAAAAAATAATAAATGGGGTTGTTAAATATGAATACCAGGTGGGCACTGATTTCTGAGTTACTTGTACCACTTTTGTCCTTATGTAAAGCATAAAACAGTCTGGCTGCTGACCAGAACCTGCAGCTGTGTAGAAGAAACTTCTTTGTACATACACCAGAAAACAAAGAATTACGATAGGCTTAAAGTCTGTTATAGTTTTGTACATGAAAGGGAAAATAAAATTGTTGATGTCATAGGCCTGGGGCCAAAAATGCTGACATATATCTACCTAGCCGGGGCTATAAAAATGGCATGCATTCCTAAGAATTGTCTTTAGTTTATAAAAATATCCAGTTAACTTTTTTCTTTTTCTTTTTTTTTTTTTACTTTTCGGCCACGCTGCATGGCATGTGGGATCTTAGTTCCCCGACCAGGAATCAGACCCGTGCCCCCTGCATTGGAAGCGAAGAGTCTTAACCACTGGACAGCCAGGGAAGTCCCAACTTAAAAAAAGATTGGTTTTTAATTGCAGTATAGTTGATTTACAATGTTGTGTTAGTTTCTGCTGTACAGCAAAGTGAGTCAGTTATACGCATACATATATCCACTTGTTTTTAGATTCTATTCTCATATAGGTCATTACAGAGTATTGAATAAAGTTCTCTGCATTATTCAGTAGGTTCTTATTAATTATCTATTCTATATATAGTAGTGTGTATATGTCAATCCCAATCTCTCAATCTATTCCTTCTGCCTCTTTTCACCCCTGGTAACCATAAATTTGTTTTCTACAACTGTGACTCAAGCCAGTTAACTTTTAAAATGGTAATTCTCTTTCATAATTCACCTGCTGTTGTCTTTATTCTTTCTAGTGTCTGAACACTTCCTCTCTTCCTATGATATCGACTGCAGTTTGGAAACCAAGAGGGAAGTGATCCAGTGCATGGGCTCCTTCCAGGATGGGGTAGCTGAGAAGTGTGTTGATTACTTCCAGAGATTCCGACGTTCTACCCATGTGACACCCAAATCATACCTCTCCTTTATTCAGGGCTATAAGTTCATATATGGAGAAAAGCATGTGGAAGTGCAAACTCTGGCCAACAGGTAAGTGTGAGGATCAAATACAAAGTTTTCTGGTTTTTTTTTTTTCTTTTGCGGTACGTGGGCCTCTCACTGTTGTGGCCTCTCCCGTTGTGGAGCACAGGCTACGGACGCGCAGGCTCAGCGGCCATGGCTCAGGGGCCCAGCCGCTCCGCGGCACGCCGGATCCTCCCGGACTGGGGCACGAACCCGTGTCCCCTGCATCGGCAGGTGCACTCTCAACCACTGCGCCACCAGGGAAGCCCCAAATACAAAGTTATTTTAAAGCAACAGCTTTTAACTAGGGGCAAATTTGCTCCTAGTGGACATTTTACAATAACTGGAGACCTTTTTGTTTGTTACAACTAGGGTGGAAGGGGTGGAGAGGTGCTACTGGCATCAAAAGAGTTAGGAGTCAGGGATGCTGCTAAACATCCTAACAGTGCACAGGACAATCCTCCATTGCAAAGTGTTATTCAGCCCCAAATACCACTAGTGCTGAGACTGAGAAACCTTCCTCTCAAGTTTGTTCAAAGGATTATTCCCTGGTTGCTAGGGGCTTTATTCTTGCCCAATAGGATTAAATGTTGCCAAGTTTTCATGTGGCCTCCCACTTTCTATAATATTGAATGAGAATAATAGAGACTGTGGACCTGGAAGAAAGCTGAGAATACAGACATCCCCTCCCTGCTCTACTCATCTCTTTCTTCCTGCACATTCTGAGTGTCTGGGATAGAAAAGTCTGCTTGATGCTTATGTTCTCTGCATAGTAAAACCCTATTCACTGAAGTTTGTTCCCAATTTCCCTGCTCTGCCTTGCTCTTTTCTGAACACTTATATCTTCTGCCTGAATATAGCCAAGAATCAGCCAAGGTTGATACATAAGGGACCTCTGGGTGGGTGATTGGACTGAATGACTCTGAGGCCTCCTGTCTTTAAGATCACATTATTTCAGAGTCAAGCAGGCGGTCGGGCCCTTCACGAGGCTGTTCTGATGGCTTTAAATTTGTTTCTTTTCTTGATCCCAACTCTTTCTTCTTTTAATTTCATTGGTCTCTTTAGAAAAACAGAAGTTATTTATGTCCCTTTCTCCATGATAAGACTTCAAGCATTTGAAGTCTGTTGTCTTTTAGCTAAAGTTCATTAAGCATGTTTCCTGCATGAGACAGATTCTAGACGCTGTCGTTCCTCATGTCACGCAGTGTTCTTAGCAGACTTACTCTTTTCACACATGGTCTATGAAGAACATACAAGTGTCTTTAGTCTGGAATCAAGCCTGGGCATTTACTCTCTTTGTCAAGCCCTCTCGGGTTTGCTATTGTATATACATTATTCTTCAAATATGACCATTACTATATACATCAGTAGACCAGGGCTTAGAAAATGTGGCCAAGAACCACACATTTTACACTCCCCACTTGGATTTTTAATCTCAGAATGAATACTGGATTGGAAAAGCTAAAAGAAGCTTCGGAGTCTGTTGCAGCCCTGAGCAAAGAATTGGAAGTGAAAGAAAAGGAGCTCCAAATGGCCAATGATAAGGCCGACACAGTGAGTAGACATTGACATGTGGACCATATTCATTTTGAATTCCCAGCTCATAAATGTTAATGATGTATGCTCCTTCACTAAATTATAACCATGGGAGTACAAATTATTTATTTCCATTAGAATACCATACTCTTAATTCTATGTACGAAGAATTGTGTAAGTGGACAAAATCAACAAATCAAGGCAAAACTGTGCATTTCCAGCTGGGTCTTTGGTAATTTTTGATTTACCTTTTTGTTTTATATTAAATTAGGTCTTAAAAGAAGTGACAATGAAAGCACAGGCTGCCGAAAAGGTCAAAGTTGAGGTACAGAAGGTGAAGGACAAAGCCCAGGCCATTGTTGGCAGCATCTCTAAAGATAAAGCCATTGCTGAGGAAAAGCTGGAAGCAGCAAAGCCAGCGTTAGAAGAAGCAGAAGCAGCCTTGCAGGTATATCTTTGTGATATAACAGATGCCACCTTTTAGGGCCTTGGAGGAAGATTAAGGCAGAAAAGATGAATAACAACAAGGAAATGTTCTACCACTTCAGATGAAAGCTCTTTCTTTTTTTTTTTTTTTTTATAAATTTATTTATTTATCTTTGGCTGTGTTGGGTCTTCATTTCTGCGCGAGGGCTTTCTCTAGTTGCGGCGAGCGGGGTCCACTCTTCATCGCGGTGCGCGGGCCTCTCTTGTTGCGGAGCACAGGCTCCAAATGCGCAGGCTCAGTAGTTGTGGCTCACGGGCCCTGTTGCTCCGTGGCATGTGGGATCTTCCCAGACCAGGGCTCAAACCCGTGACCCCTGCATTGGCAGGCAGATTCTCAACCACTGTGCCACCAGGGAAGCCCGAAAGCTCTTTCTACTGGAATGATTTCAAGTAATATTTTCTGCTTGGAGATATTATTTGATTTTTTTAGATATTGCACATGGCACTTCACATCTCATCTTCCTCACTCATGAATGATGGGCAGTGCCATATAATGGTGATCTGGAGTCCTGGGTTCTCATTTCAACTCTGTAACCAATAAGCTTTGTGACATTGGGAAAGTCACATAAAATTTCTAAAATAACATTTCTTTTTCACTCATTCATTGCAGACGTTGGAGTAGGTTGGTAAGATACAACATTCTCTGAGTGTGTATATGAATTACCCAAATAAAGGACTACTGAGCTAATGTACCACATTAATGGCAGAGTTCCAACACAGTTACTCAGTGTGATTGTGTGGCAAGAACAGAAATGGTGAAATTAGGAAAGAGGTTGGGTTCAGAGAAAATATGTTGAGTTTAGTGAAATAGGCCACACCTTCAAGGGCTGGTCGAGTTTTGAAGACCCAATTTGAGATGTTTTGGACTCATGATTGCTTTTACTTTAGTCTTACTCAACTACTGCCTTATGTTATTGATTCCTGGCTTAGAATGTGGCTGAAGAAATGGAACACTGCTGATCTGTCCACTGCTAATTCAAGTTATATAACCTCAGTTGAACATGCATCATTACTTGATAACGTAATCATCATTTTTCACCACCTTCTCAGCACACCACCTGAAACAGTTCTAAATGCTTTTGATCCAAGTTAAGTCTTTAAGCTTTCTGAGTCAATATACAACATATTGTATAAGAGAATTTCTACTCTTTTGAGACAATGAAGATATTGTTTTCTTTTTTTATCTTTCCAGTTTTCACGCTACTGTTTTATGTGATATATCTTTCCTTATTTTTTCTCCATCCCTCCTTGCACTGGCTAAACTGTCCTCCTTAATCCTTGAAGTCCTTCAGGGTCTTTAGTCTCTCAGATTGGTGGGTACCTCATCTCCCACACCCCACTTTTAAAAAGCCAATTTACGGAGGTAAGATTGACGTATAAAAAGCTGTACGTATTTAATGCGTATAGCTCACTGAGTTTGGGATGAGTGTACACCTATGAAACCATCACCATCTTCAAGGCCATAGATATATCCATCAATGCCCAAAGTTTCCTCCTGCTCCCTTTATTATTATTACTATTTTTTTGTGATAAGCTCTATACCCTTAACAAATTTTAAGTATGCAATAAAGTATTGATAAGTATGGGCACTATGCTGTGTAGTAGATCTCTAGAATTTATTTATCTCGCATAACAAAAACTATGTACTCTTTAAAAAAATTTTTTTTTACATCTTAATTGGAGTATAATTGCTTTACAATGGTGTGTTATTTTCTGCCATATAACAAAGTGAATCAGTTATACATATACATATGTTCCCATATCTCTTCCCTCTTGCATCTCCCTCCCTCCCACCCTCCCTATCCCACCCCTCTAGGTGGTCACAAAGCACCGAGCTGATCTCCTTGTGCTATGCGACTGCTTCCCACTAGCTATCTATTTTACATTTGGTAGTGTATATATGTCTATATATACACTACCACTCTCACTTTGTCACAGCTTACCCTTACCCCTCCCCGTGTCCTCAGGTCCATTCTCTAGTAAGTCTGCATCTTTATTCCTGTCTTGCCCCTAGGTTCTTCATGACCATTTTTTTTTTTTTTTTTAGATTCCATATATATGTGTTAGCACACAGTATTTGTTTTTCTCTTTCTGACTTACTTCACTCTGTATGACAGTCTCTAGGTCCATCCACCTCAGTACAAATAACTCAATTTTGTTTCTTTTTACAGCTGAGTAATATTCTATTGTATATATGTGCCACATCTTCTTTATCCATTCATCTGTCCATGGACACTTAGATTGCGTCCATATCCTGGCTATTGTAAATAGAGCTGCAATGAACATTGTGGTACATGACTCTTTTTGAATTATGGTTTTCTCAGGGTATATGCCCAGTAGTGGGATTGCTGGGTTGTACGGTAGAAAACTTTGTACTCTTTGACCATCACCTTCCCATTTGCTTCTTCCTCCAGTCCCTGGCAACCACCCTTCTACTGTCTGCTTCTATGAATCTGTTTTAGATTCCACATATAAATGAGATCATGCAGTATTTGTCTTTCTTTTTAGCTTATTTCACTTGGCATAATGTCTTCCAGATCCATCCATATTGTTGCAAATGGCAGGATTTCCATTTTTTTTAAAGGCTGAATAATATTCCATTGTATGTAAATACTACATTTTCTTTGTCCATTCATCTGTCAATGGACATTTACATTGCTTCCATATCTTGGCCATTGTGAATAATACTGCAGTGAACATGGGGGTGCAGATATCTCTTTAAGATCCTGGACCTCATCCTCCCCCTGCCCCTTTTAAGGTACTCTGGCTTCACTGAGAGTCTCTGATCAACAGAGAGAAGACAGTGATTGTGTAACTTCTAAACCTTTATTGAACTCATGATACCTAACAGCATCATAGGAACTGAGCATATGGTATCTCAGTTCTTACACATTTACATTTTCCCAAGATTTAAAAGCTTAGCATTTGTTTTGATATTATAAAATATTTTCCAGTATCCTTCTAATTTAGTACTCTCTACCACTAAAATATTCAACATAATCATCAGTGCAGAAATGTGTGGGAACAGGGGTAACGTGAGGGGATATATAGGAGAGGTTTTCAATAATTTCCTTCATTGGTTCTGTCTCCATTTTATTGCTTCTTTATGAGCTTTTGAAATCTTGAAGTCTGGTACTACTAATTTATACTAAGAAAGTTCTGGGTACATCCAAACTCTCTTTTGGCATCAGGCCACGTAAATCTACACAACAAATAAGCTAACAGCAAAGAATGTGTCTCATCCTATCTCAGTGCTCATCTGACTTGACACAAATATATATAAATATGTATTTATATATAACAGCCATATTGCTTTGCCTGCAGAAAAAAACAGGAATCTAATACTTAGCTGAAATAGGTTGCACTTCAGGTATACTCCTCTTCCGGACTCTTTTTACCTGGGTACCTAACATAATTGAGCCCAATTCTGTTTGAAAATTCCCCCTTTTAAAGCTAAAGTGAAAATAAACAAATAGGACCTAATCAAACTTATAAGGTTTTGCACAGCAACGGAAACCATAAACAAAAAGACAACCTACGGACTGGGAAAAAATGTTCGCAAATGATGAGACCGACAAGGGCTTAATTTCCAAAATATACAAATGGCCCATATAGCTCAATATCAAAAAAACAAACAACCCAATCAAAAAATGGGCAGAAGATCTAAATGGACATTTCTCCAAAGAAGACATACAGATGGCCAACAGGCACATGAAAAGATGCTCAACACCACTAATTATTAGAGAAATGCAAATCAAAAGTACAATGAGATACCACCTCACAGGGGTCGGAATGGCCAACATCAAAAAGTCTACAAATAATAAATGCTGGAAGGGTGTGGAGAAAAGGGAACCCTCCTACATTTTTGGTGGGAATGTAAATTGGTGCAGCCACTATGGAGAACAGTATGGAGGTTCCTTAAAAAACTAAAAATAGAGCTACAATATGACCCAGCAATCCCACTACTGGGCATATACCCTGAGAAAACCATAATTTTAAAAGACACATGCACCCCAATTTTCACTGAAGCACTATTTACAATAACCAAAATATGGAAGCAACCTAAACGTCCATCGACAGAGGAATGGATAAAGAAGATGTGGTACATACATACAATGGAATACAACTCAGCCGTAAAAAAGAATGAAATAATGCCATTTGCAGCAACGTGGATGGACCTAGAGATTATCATAGTAAGTGAAGTAAGTCAGACAGAGAAAGACAAATACCATATGATATCACTTATATGTGGAATCTAAAATATGGCACAAATGAAATTATCTATGAAACAGAAACAGACTCACAGACACAGAGAACAGACTTGTGGTTGCCAAGGGGGAGGTGGGGAAGGGTTCGAATGGGAGTTTGGGGTTAGCAGATGCAAACTCTTACGTATATATGTATAACTGAATCACTGTGCTGTACACCTGAAACTAACACAGCATCGTAAGTCAACTTTACTTCAATAAAGTAAAATTTAAAACAAACAAATAAAAAGCTAAAGTGAAATAAGCATGTCCAGCTCTTTTATATCCACTTTAATTTGACCCTTCTTTCCC